GAAGAAATAGGTAAATTTCTACTGTTTATTAGTTTACACCTTAATTTTGACATAATTAATTGGCTAATATTTTTCTTTATTGTATAGATCAGGATAATGATGATGAAAAAGACAATACGGATGCTGACAATATTGAGAGGATATGCAGTTCTACCGATAGGACAAGAAGAATGCAAGACAAATTCGACAGTGACGATGTAAATAATTTGGATTGAAGTAAGGACAATAGAGAGTGGGAGTGTGGAGGGGAAGAACTGCATAATTTGATGGATGATTAAATGATGGGCTAAGTGATAAGAACATGGTACTTCGCAGTCTGGCTGGACTGGACGATGCCTGAGGAACGGTATACGGGGAATGGGATTATGACATAGACCTCGCCGATCGTGATTTAAAGATAAAGATGCAATTTGTTAATAAGGAGAAATATATACAGCCTCTATGTAATTGGGATGTCTAGCATGGTTGGGATTTGAAGTTGATAAAGAATGAAAAGAAGAAAGTTCCGGTTGTGTGCATGAAGGGTTGCGAGTGGAAGATACATGCATTTTTCATCATAAAATAGGGAATAAGTTTTAGATTAAAACAATGAAGGGCGTCAATCGATCTACACACTAGTTTAAGAACACATAAAAAAATTATAAATACTTTAGGATGAGGATTAAGGACATGGTGAGCAATAATTCCGATATCTTTGTACCTATTTGAAGAAAAAAATACGTCAGGAAAGTACGTATTGAGGTGAGTCTATACAACATTTATAAAGCAAATTGATATGCCCTAGAATTGATTAAGGGTAGCAAGTCTGAACAATACATTATGCTTTACGATTACTACGTTATGGTGTTCAAATACAAAAAAAGGGGAACAGTTGTATTATGCAGGTTGATCACGAAGTTAGCCTATCAGTTTTTAAGAGGATGTATTATTTTTTGTCGGCTTTAAAGAACGGATTCAAGGTAGGTTTTTGCATTATAATTAGGTTGGATGGTTGTTTTCTTAAAGGGATTTATAAGGGATAGTTGTTCACTACTATTTAGAGAGATCCCAATGATTATGTTTATCATATAGTGTTTGTGTTTGTAGAGATTAAGAAGTACGAGATTTGGGGCTGATTTTTAGAATGACTGTTGAGGTATTTGGTAGATTCCAGGGGCTAGGAATTGGTTGTTCATATGTGATCATCATAAGGGTTTGGTAGAGGCAATCGTTAAGTGAGCTTCAACGGGCAGAGCACCAATTTTATTTGCAACATATGTACAATAAATTTAAGGCATGTTATAATGGACTGTAGTTGAAAAGTTTTTTTTTTGTAGGGCACCATCGATTTTAATCTAGAAGAAACATGAGAAAGTATTGAAACATATTCATAAGTTCAATGTCTGTATGGTACGGAGAAAGTTACTTAAGTATAGTTTAGCGAGATTCCACAGCATCATTGGGCAAGAGCCTTTTTCCTGTCAAGGACGAAAAATGATGTCCTCATGAAAAACATATGTCAGTCATTCAATTACTACAATTTTGAGGCACGGAACCTACCCATTATCTATATGTTTGAGTGGATTCGTCGGAAATTGATGGTCGATTCAAGTACAAAAAAAAAAAATGGAAATAAAGAAGTTTGATAGAATCATATTTCCTAACTTTATGGAGAGAGTTAAGAAGCATCGAGAAGAAAGCAACAACTAGTTTCCGTCTTAGGGAGGTGATGACATATACGAAGTAATGCATTTTACACAAAACTATATCGCCGAGCGGAATTGACATGTTTTTACCCACGGGATGTTCATATTAGTGCATATTCATGCTGCCATGGGATTACTACCATCGTAAAACAGAGATTGCCGGTCTAATATTATGTGGATGATTGCTTCAAAAATGAGACTTACAGGGAAGTCTACAACTATGCAATAAATCTTGTTTCTGGTATACATGAATACGAAGAATCTCCGTTGGGTGAGGTGGCACCATCAATTGTGAAGATTAGAAGTGGTTTCCCAAAAAAAACTCATAGGCGTAATTGGAATGACAAGCGGATGGATGGTAAAGCATCTCGAAAGGGGCTAAGCACGACTTGTTCCAAATGTCATCACCAGGGACATAATATAGACATAGCTACAGAAATGATCTTCCTTGCTCTACGTTAAGTATGCTTTTTTGGTTACCTTATCTTTGTTATATCTCCAAATATAATTCTGATTTTCTATTTAATCTAGCAGAGTAGATCGCAACCAGATCCCACTCCAGAGCAGCTCGATCACTGTCGGTCCCAAACCGAAAACGTCAGCAATATGTTCATTTTTTTAACTTTTCTAAATAATGTAAATTGGAGATGAATAATTTGATTGCTGTTATTTTTATTGTATTATTCATTAGGCTGCCTTGAACGTCCATACGCGGATGAGGTCACACAAACAACACAATCTTCACAAGTACATATGGTTGGCTTTGTAACTTTTAATTATGAGTAAGAGTTGTTTCCCCACCTGTATGAAAGTGGAGGATGAGGATACTACAAAATCAACATAAGAAGTAACATTATAATGCGCATGGCGAATGCCAATGGTGAAGTAAGTATTTGCTAAACCATCACTGTCTACCGCTACTAAATGAATGTTGTTGTTCAATATCTTATTTGTTGTTGCTTCTCCAACTGAAATTTTCAGCTTCCATACATTATCTTTGAATTGCTCAAAAAAAACAAAAAAAAAAAACAAAAGCTTTCTTTAGTTATGATCCTGGAACATATATGGAGTTGTGAAGTATTTTACGAGACACGCCGGGTGTAACATATTGTGTAGGCACAAGGTTTAGATCATATGAACACCTTTCTCAGGTCCTCGAGCAAAATAGAAAGGAGTGGACTATCTTAAAGTCCATCGTTGTTGTCCCTTCTCCGAAGCGTTAGGTTCTCCCTCATGCTGTGAGGGTGTTGGGGGTCTTCGGGTGGTAGTTTCGAAATTCAAAATATTTATGGTGCAACTATTCTAGTTTATTATTATGTTTTCCATTAATATAGTGGTAGTACGATTTGGAATCATGCATGCATTTTGTGCCTATGTTTTGGGATGTGATATAGATTGCGGAAATTTGGTTAGATTCCTTTGCTATTCGACTAATTATCTACTTACCAAGGGATTTGTTATTGTATTGAAAAATATCTTATGATTATGGTGTTGTATTGAGGAAATATTTTGTGGATTTTCTATTGTATATGAGAATTATGTCGTGATGATTGGTTAATATGTGTCAGTTTTACTACTATGTTATGGATACTATAATACGATGGTTGTAGTGTAGCAAAGAACAAGACCATAAAATTACTACAAAGATAAAATACAACCATCAAATTTAATCAACAAACGTAACTACGATGAGACCGTATGATAGTTTCGAGCCAGTACGAACATAAGTCGAAGACATACCGACTAATTAAAATAAAAATTAGCACCTAATTCTAACTCGCAAAGCTTTAATTTCATGATTTAGTTCTTCCACGATGTCCTTCAATTGACCTGTTTCTTTCGCAACAACTTTCAATTTTTTCAAAAGTTGCACCTCAGTTGCAACAGACTTAACCTTCAGTTCGTTAACTTCAATTCTTGTGTCTCCTTCGTTGGTCCAACGACTTGGATGGCCGCAAAAGTTCCGTACTTGCATCGTAGGCATCTATATCTCATATTAATATCTCATTTACTTCTAAAATTCGACTTTGGGCCGCTAAATGACATCTCTACCTATGAATAAGAGTTAAAAGACAAGTGTCAAAACCACAAGTCACTACACTGCCATATATACAATGATTCAACTTTTTTCTTGCCAAACCAAGAACGAAATTTCAGGAAAAATATCAAACTTTCAAGACCATAACCAAAATTTAAAGAAAATTACCATAATACAATTCTTCACAACAAAGTACCCAACTCATAACATTTTTTAAGAACAATAAACAGAAGAAGGGGTTTCAAAAAACTGAAATGTCAAAGCCAAATTGGGCAAAAACATGAACAAGTTTTCTATATTGAATCATCCAAACCCGCTTCAACCTTACAAAAACAATTTATCTACATCTAATTACCCAAACCCACTTAATCCGCGTGCCTTCGAAACAGTTCCTTAACAAAATTTCAAGCATATCGAAACTCATTCATCCCCACAAAGTACCAATGACCTTTGTTGGGTTTCCGAACATAGACAAACAAAATTGGAGGCACCCAAAGCCCAAACTAAAAGCCCTAATTTCACAAAAATATTAAATATAACAATTTAACAATAAATTAACAAAAATCTCAATTAAAAAATAAAGTATTGTTCAAAATCGGCATACTAGAAGCACTTGAAGAGCTATCTTCAAAGGAGGAAATGAAGACCCACAGTCAAGATGTACAGTAAAATGTAGATCATGAGAGAAAAGAAACTAGTTTTATTAATACACATAAGGTATTTCTGTAAATTTTTCTCTTAAATTTATAATAATACTGTGTTTGTTTGTGGGTTGAGTTTTTTTATTTTGATTGTTGAATAGTAAAAGTATAGAGTTGATAATTATTTGATGTGATATAAATAGACATTATATGATATTTTGAATATAAAATATATTTTTAGTATAATATATAAAAGAAAAATAATTTTTAATTTGATATTTTTTAAGAGAAAAAAAAGTTTAATAGTAAAAACTTTGGTAAAAACAAAAAAAGAACTAAGCTGCTATCTTTTGCAAAATTTCAGGATTATGAATGTTTACAGTAAATTTTGCGAAAAACATATGGATATGGAGTTTGTTTATATGTTGTTATTAGCAAAATCGTTCCGAATTTATCGAAAGCTGTCTAATTTTTTCCACATAAATTTTACACCCATTTATTAAAAACTAACAATTAACTAATTTTTTATTTTTATTTTTATATATATAACGCTGTCAATACTGAGACGGTTTTGAAATAAAAAAATATATAAATATATGTACAAATATATTATAGAGTTCAGAGTGTACACGCACGCATGGACGAATACATGTATATTATTATTACTAGTAAATAGAGAGGTGTAATTAGATGCGATCTGTACCTGTGATTAGCGGCTCTGAGCAAATTTCTTGTTGTTTCCACCTCTACTGTTTGTATTCTTTCTATTTCTTCGTTCAAAGAATTGCAAGAATCGAATTTTAGGGCACCAATTTTGTGATTAGTTTTGGTAATTTATCATGAGCTGAGAAATAGGGATCTTCAGCTTCATCAAGTATTGGTTTTTTCGCCTCTGAATTTATTGTATGGCAAATGCATCCGGGCTGTTCACTCCTACGGAACCTAATGTGCGGCGTAGGTTTTCTCCGGGCGTCGGCATTTGTCGGAAATCTGGGATTTGCGTATCGTCCGACGTCGTTTACAGGAGAAGTGTGTGTTGCAGAGCTACCGGTGGCGTGGAGAAGCTTTCCCCATCTGAATCTAGAGCGCTAAGGTCACTTTTGAACTTGATTTGGTATTCGATTGTTTTGTTTCTGTGTTTTGGTGCTGCTGGCTTCAATGCACTCCAAGTGTTCGACGTTTGGCTTCTGTGAAGAATTTTAGGGAAACTTTGATTGTGAGAAGAATGGGGCACTGGTTTAGTTTAGTTGGTATTTCGAATTGTGGATAATTTGATTTATGGTGGAACTGATTTGTTTCTATGATATAACATGAATGTTTTCAGTATTAGGGAAAGGAGTTGCAAAATTCATCGAAAAGTAGGAAGAAACTATAGCTTTAGTTGTGATCACCTTGTGTTTAGAACTACTTTGATTCTCTTGAAATCACATTTTGGTTTAAGTTATCTGTTTTCGAAATTTTAGTTTTAACTTTTTCCGTTGGTTTCTGAGGTTCAAAGAGTATAATTTTCTACTGGCTGGAGAAAGGAAGAACAATGTCACTCTTACCGTTTATTCTTGAATACGGAAAAAAGATGTCAAGAGGAACAATTATGGGACCGAACTTATTGTGATAAGCACGCTTTATATGTTGGTTTTGTTGGTTGTATTCAATTGTCCGTAAGGGCTAATGTGTTATCATTGCATGATGTTATTTAATATTTACAGATATATTTGGTTTTTGCCAATTTGTGTTTTAAATAATATTAATATCTTTTGTGATGTTATTATGTACATTTCTTTGACTACATGACTACAGAATAGAAGTAGTGCTTCCGACAGTTTTCTCACGGCAAACTTAAATTTGTGTAGACTTATCAGCAGAGGCTGCAAATTAGTTGGATGCGGCTCTGCGGTACCGAGTTTTCAGATATCCAATGACGATCTCTCGAAAATTGTTGATACTAATGATGAATGGATATCTGTTCGAACTGGGATTCGTAATCGAAGAATACTCTCTGGTAAGTTTTTCCTTTTGTCAATGCTCATATCTTAGTTGTGTCTTAATAGAAATACTCTAAACTTGATAAGTTGCCTAATTGCCTAATTTTATATCTTGTGGGTGATGTTTATTATTAATTTTTCATTAACATTTTGTAGAAAAATAAGAGGAAAAATATTCTTTCATTCCTAGAAAGCAAAGTATATATATATATATACATATAGGTATCATAACAAACTTAATTTAACTAAGTCATATATATATATGTATAGATATGAATCATATTTAACTAAGATATACATATGAATCTAATAACCTTATACAAATATGATTAAATAATAACTAACAAATTTAAATAATATTAATTAAGATATTTATTTAAAATATATTTCAACACACTCAAGTTGGTGATGTAAAAGCCAACTTGAGTTTGACAAAAGAGACCGGAGGTGGATTTTATATATGGACGGATTTTATTTCTTTGTCATGTTGGGGTGCTTAATTCCTAAGAAATCTGGATTTTGACCAAATTAAAATTTCCTTTGTCGCGGGAACGCACCGGCGATCCTCTGTCGCAATGGCGGTAACTTTAATAAATTAAAGTTTTGGCAAAATTATGAGTTTTAATGGCCACGATCCTATGTCGCGGCACTAGGATTTCTAATGACGGTATCCTCAGTCGCGGTGACACCGGTGATCTTCTATCACTGTGGTGGCACTAAATCCTAAGAAATTAAACTAAGCAAAAACTTCGGATAGGTAATTGAATACCAAATCAAAAACTTGATAAAGAAAACTGGAAGCAACTTGACACATACGTTGAAAATATCTCAATATGTTATCGCCATAAAATTCTAGCAATTTGGACACCAAACACATTTGCACATGCTTCCAAAGCCGGCGACAATGAAATTGTTGACCGATACAGGTAACTCACACTTCATTTCTGGAGATGATATTTGGTGGCAAGTGTATCTCATCATAGGAATATAGTGGTGGTATGTGAGATAAGAATAAGTACAGTCTCCGGGTACATTTGAAGTTATGGTATATACCCGGAGAAAATGTGAATTAGTAGACTGTGTAGAAGAAAAATAGACTCTAGGAGAAAAATTATTATTTCATTCCTAGATTAAAAAAAAAAAAAAAAAACCAAAAAAGGAAAAGGAAGTGTACATGTATATATAGGTGTTTAGATATATAGGTAATTAGGTATAGATATGAATCACATCTATCTAAGATATAGATATGAATCTAATAACTTAACCTAGATATAATTAAATAATAACTAACAAATCTAAATAATATTAATTAAAATATCAATTTAAAATATATTTCTAACATATTTTAATCCCATAACATTTTAGTATTGATGAATGGATCAATTGCTAGTTATAAACCCATAGTTTTCATCAAAACTAACAAAAATATATTGAGGGTGTTCGGGAACAGCTTTTTGAAGAATTGAACAGCTTTTAGCTGTTTGACCAGTCAAAAAGCTAATTTAGGTGTTCGGTAAATTAGCTAAATTTTTTGACCCAAAAAGCTAATTTTTGAAAAGTTCATCTACTCAGCGTTTCGAAAGAGTTTTTCATTTTAATTTTGGTTATTCCTTATTTACCCTTAAAACTTAATTATTTATTTTATACATATAAATATATTTTTATAGCAATATTTATTAATTATTTTTAATATATTTAATTTATTAAATTATATTTTTATTTTTGTAAATTTAAAATAATTACTATTGTTAATTATTACATATAAATTATTTTATTTTTAAAATATATAAATTTTTAAAACTAAATCAAATAGAAAAAACAAAGGTTATTAATTTATTTATATAAACGTTAAAACAATAATTAATATAATAAAAAAAATATAGGAAAGATTTATTATTCTATATTTTACATAATTTTAATAAAAAATTATTATTTTTTGTAAAATTAATTTTCTCAAATCTAAATAATAAAAATAAAAATAAATATTTTATAATATTTTTATAATTTTCAATAATTAATAACAGAAACTCTCTTAAATTTCAAACCAAAATAAACAAAATTAAATATTTTAAAAAATAATGTATCAATTTCCTTAATAGTCATTTTATGTATAAACACCTAATTGTCAAACAATTGTTTTACCAAACACTTTAATACAAACCACTAATTGAATCAGTCAAACCAGTTAAGTGAATCAGGTAACAGTGAATCAGGTAACAGCTAAAAGCTATCAGGTAATTGTCAAACGCACCCATTGTATAAAGGCCATCTAAATGTCTCATACTACTACTTATCACTCTCAATTGCGCAGGAACTTCCATTACTAAATTTCTTACAAGTAGGCATTTTGTTGCAACCATCTTTATGTGTGTGACTAAAGATTGAAATTTTCTATATAATATAATGGGTACTAATAGAAACATACACTTCCTTTGGAGTAGAAAGTGCAATTTTACGAGCTAATATTAAGGCTGTTTTTTAGGCCTGATTTACTGAATTGATGCAGACAATGCAAGTCTGAATTTAGGGTTATTATTATAGATGGTAATGTTAAGTGTAGGCTTTTTAGGGTAATTAACCCTAATGGGCTTAGGAGTTTGGGCCCAATTGTTATTAACTCTAAACCTGGTCTATAAATACATATTTATTGTACTTGTAAAGTATGTCGCCTCATATGAAAAGCTTCTTGGTTGCTCCAGTGGACGTAGGTCGATAACTCCGAACCCCAAGTAATCCTTTGTGTTCTACTTTTTTGTTTGTGTATATGAGAATTGTTCTACTTTTTTGTTTGTGTATGTGAGAATTAATCCTGACAAGTGGTATCAAAGCATACCGCAAATTGTAGAATTAGTATTTGCATGATTAAATCATGTCTGGGGACAGAAAGACCAAGATTGATAAGTTCAACCGAAAATATTTCGGTTGTTGGAAGGTGCTTTGCCAGAAGGATCTGGATTTGCCTTTGACCAGAAGAATACCTGAGAAGATGTGAGAAGATGAGCTACAATGAATGGACAATCCTTAAAAAAAACCCTGTCAGTTATCGGATCTACGCTAGCAAAAAAACATTGGACTCAACATTCTGAAAGAGACTACCCGCATATAGGTTGATGAAGACATTGGCAAACATGTACGGGAAGCCATCTGCTTCCAACAAGGTCTTTCTGATAAAACAATTGGTGAAATCAAGAATGAAAGAAGGTATGTCTGTTACTTCGCATATAAACGAATTCAATACTATAATATCCCGATTGTTGTCGGTAAATATTAAGTTTGATGATGAAGTTGATGCATCATTCATTCATTTTCACTATCGGAGCAAAAGACAAAATACAAGTAGGATCAATTCTGCCTTTAGGCATCATATCAGTAGAATTAGGAATAGCACTAGGAAGGATTATTAGGTGTGGTTTCTCTACCTTGAAAAGTTGCATTTGCTATATGTTGGGTAATTGCAGCAAGGATTTGATTTTCAATGCATTTCCAAATGCCTCCAACTTTGTATCAAAAGTGTACCTAGAAAGTAAAGACACATTTTTATTATCTACAAATACGACTATATCTTTTATCATGACAGTTTCGTTGGCAAAGACTTGCAGTTGCAACTTTCTGTATGCGTTGTTGCATTGCAGCAGAGACAGAGAGACATTGAATTCAGAGGGTCTGCCAATAAGGAGGTATCATCATATGCTTATCTAATGCGGAAATAAAAACAGCAAGAGTAAAATGAGACGAAATAAGATATGCTTTGATTTATGTGGTGGTGTTTAGCTTGTGTGTTGTTGAAATTGCTTCTTTGTTTTACATAATCCACGTCTTTTTTTTAATAAAAATAAATTACTTGATGACGTGCATTTGTGTAATATATACAGGGTTGATTTTGTGTGGGTGTGGCACAAATTATACTAAGAAGATATTACGGCACAAGAGAATTGAGTGAAATAAACTGTAGATAGTTGTGAAGATTCATAAGATATATAGACAGAGCTTATGTGAAGTTCTCATCTGATCTTTACATGTCTACAAAATATTGTGTTATTAACATTTATAGAAAAATTAAATATATATATATATATATATATGGAATCTTGGTTTCAATCCTGTGTAAAAAAAAAACTCTGGTGTGTTTACTCTAGCTAAGGAGGAAGACTGATGCTTTCTTGTTTTGAAGATTCTAGTCAGATATTTGAAGATAAAGCATATTTCATTTCATAATTCACATTAGGAGATACGTACGTATTTAGGACGATTTTTGAAGTTGTTCTTGACAATCTATTACTTTAATAGGAAGCTAAAGCCACTGCAAACTTTCAAGCTTGCCCAAATTGAAAAGTTGCATCAGGATCAGGAGCGAGATGAATTTCAAAAAATTGTTTTGGGTAATCAATTAGGTTTAATATCCCTTTTCTTTTCTTTTGAAGCTGCCAATTTTGATTTTTTTTTTTTTTTTTTTTTTCGACGGACCTGCATTGATTAACAGCAAGATAGAACTCAACAGATACATGAAATGAAGAAAAAGGAAAAGGAAAAGAATTTCGTGAAGCAAATTGCAAGTGATATATATTTCTTCCAGCTTACTAAAAACTTGTTCAAAGAATGCATGGGTAGATGAAGCACAAGCCTGTCATGCCATTGTTGCAGGAACGCCTTAATCAAGTGTTAAATGAGAAGAAGAAAAAGAAGGAATCCATGAATTTACTTATGATCAAACTATAGATTCTTTCATGCTTTGTAAATTCTTTCTACGCGACTAAAGTGTCGAGATTAAAATGTGACAATAGAAAGAAGGTTAGCAACGTGGAACTTGGAATGGAAAGAATTCTGGTCGACAATGACTTCTTTCTATAAGAAGACTGTAAGTCATGCCCTTGAGTTGTTAACTCCTGTTTATTTAGCTGCCATCAATTTCTCCTGACATTGCTTCTTGTAGGTTGATCCTTATTAAGCCAAAAATCAAATGTTGATTTGAGGGCATTGCTACGTTCAATGCGGGTGCCTACGCAAACACTAGATATTAACGTTATACTACTTTTACCTTTTAGAGATTGGATTTTTCTAGAGCTATTAAACAAACGGAGTAAGCTTGAGTATCTATTGCTCGAACTCAACTCAAACATGTTATCTATACAAACACGAATCTGCTCATTTAAGATTCGAGCTAAAATTGTGGCTCGAGTTCGGCTGGCTACACTCAATTTCAAGCTTGAGCTTGATTCGAATTTCATGCATATTATAAATAATTTTTATTAGATAAATTAAATAAATATAATTTTATTTATAATTTACTATAATAAAATATTCCAATTTCAGTAATAAATATAAGATTTGACATAAAAAAATTATGTATATATTATATTAATATATAAAATAATACAAATATATCATTACTAACAAGCTTAATCGAGCTATCCGCAAGTCGAGCTCAAACTCGGCTCGTTTACAAAAATAATAATTCTTGAGCTCAAGTTCCACTTATTTATCTTTGTAAGCTAGTCGAATTGAGCTATTAACAAGCCAATTCAAGCTTGGCTCGCAAGCTACTCGGTTCGTTTAATAGCTTTAGGTTTTTCCCTTCTAATATTGTCTTGCTTGCTTGACATATATGATATATCTCACACCCCAACATAGATGTCATTTTATGTTTCCTAAATTTTAAGAAATTACAGCTAGAATCAAACACTTTAAGATTGTTGTGTTCTTTTATTAAGTAAATACTTATACCAACTTCTTGTGATGAATTTAGTACCAACTATGTTTTTTTTTTTTTTTTTCATCGAAACCAATTCCATTTTCTTTGTTTTTGAATGAGATGGTTCCTATACAATCAATTTTTTTTTCAATTACATTGTTACGTTGACATGAGTATGAAGCACTATTCATTCAATTATAGTACTACTTGGGAATAAATCTTGCTAACAGGTCAGGCAGATATGCGTGAGTTCTTAAATGCTCCGAATGTAAGCCACCTTGTGCTGCCTGCCAGTGACTGACCAGATTCAGACCCATCACAGTCGCGACGGTATGTATATTTGATAGGAGTCGGCTATTGGGGAAAAAAGCATTATACGTATGTATAATAAGACATTGTTATGATAATTTTAAATAACTCCGATTCTAATGGAGACTAGAAATTAATACTGTTGGGGATTCCCATTTTTGGATAAATAAATGATGGTTGCATTTTTCTAACGGCTCGAACTTTTAGGTGAGACGGTCATTTAGCATCCGACATAATATTAGAGCCTAGGTTAGGTAAGACTAATAATAATAATAATAAATATATATATTACTCATTCTGTTATCAAAAAGAAATATTACCAGGTCTAATCGATAGCACGTATGAGAGAGCGAAAACGAGAATAATTTATGTTTTATTATGCGAATCCTTCCGGGTACTCAACGAAATCCGACACTGGCACACCACACCACACCCACTAGACTTCTTCGCAGCGGTCGACCCTCTTCTTCAACGAGGTCTCTGGTCTTCTTTTTATTTTTCATTTATGTGCTCCTTAATCAAGAATTTTTATTTATATATATATATATATATATATAACTAACTCTTACTAATATTTATCATGAACTTGAAATCCTTTTTAGTATATATATTCTTAATGACACCTTTTTCTTTTTTAAATTGATATTTGTATATGGATCATAATATGAATTCATTTTAAAATTAAATTATAGTATAAATATATATTGAACATTTTCATAGTAAATGAGTTGAGTTTAAAATAAATTAGTATGTATAATAACGCTTATTGGTAAAGAAAAACAATAATTTATAGGGTAAATTGATTTTTTTAGTCCGGTAATTGGACCTTTATCATTTTAGTCAATTAACTGGAGTCTGTCTTAAAATAGTCCTGTAAGCGAAAATCTTTTTCAATTTAATCCCCAATGCCTATGTGGCATCTACGTGGCACACTGACGGACTCGTGTCGGCCAGATCAGGGCCATGTGGCTGACACGTGTCCGCCACGTGGATTATTGTTATTTTTAATTTTTTTAAACATAAAAAATTACAATTATAAATATTAAAATTAAATTAAAAATTAAAAATTAAAAATAAAATAAAATTATCAATATGTCCGTCAAGTCAGCATTATGTGACTTTTAATAATTTATATATTAGTATATTTTTTGATAATACTTTTTATATTTTATATTTTATTTTTAATATAACAAATATAAATTATTATGCGCTGATGTGACAGATATGTGAATAATTTTTATTTTTTTAATTTTAATTTTTATATTTATTTTTTTAATTTTTTTATATTTTATATTTTTATATATTTTATATATTTAATTTTAATTTTATTTATTTTTATTAAAAAATAAAATTTTTTAAAAAAGTTATCCACGTGGCGAACACGTGGCGCTGATCTTTCTGACACGTGTCCGCCAAGCTGCCACGCAGATGCCATCTAGGCATTGATGACTAAATTGAGAATTTTTCACTTACGGGACTATCTTAAGACAGCCTTCAGTTACGAGACTAAAATGATAAAAGGATTCAGTTACAGACAAAAAAAAAAAAAATAGTTTACCCTAATTTATATATACATATTTGGATGAGATATTATTACAAATTGTTAAGAGTAAATAAAACGTGACTTCATAAGTTTTTAAAACACACGTGGACTATACATGTCCAGGCCAAACTTGTCAGCTTTTGAAAAATGACTTAAAAGCCACAAAATAGCTATAGTTTTCAAGTTAATATTCGCATTCGTCTTTGCAGAAGGTGGTAAGCGGGGATCCGAAAATGGGTGATGAGAACAGTCTCGTGCACACTGGCGATTCGAATTCCAGCATGGTTTTTTGCTAATTTTCACCCACTGATTTGATGTAAATCCACATCCCAAACAAGCATAAATAAAACCTAAATCCTCAACAAAAATCCGAGTTTTTTTAATGTAAAGAACATATTGATTATGGCGATGATGTTTGTTGGCACCATGGTTGATTCTATTGTCATGATTCGTCATGCGGAATCGGAGGTAGGCATCCGTGACGACGAAGATACAGAAGAAATCATCCTTCTAACAATGTTTTCTTGGGAAAGAATTTTGGGGGAAGAAAAAAAAAAGAGAATAACTCTGTCGATTGTGCCTTTACTTCACCCGGCCAAGTCGAAGACGCTCTAAAAAAATTCACAAGTGAAAAATAGCAAAAAAAAAAAGAAAGCATTCACTATTTTGTTCTTATATTTATAGTCTTTTTTTTCTCACTTCACAAAATCAACCTCGATACAGGGACATAAGGCGTTGAAAGTTTTCCCACCGTGTTTGCTCTGAGATCTTGTTTTGGAGGATGTTTGGAATTTTAAAATTTTTGAGAAATAATTATTATAAATTGTTTTGAACTTGGGATATATATATATACATATATATTTAAGCAAAATCATTATTTAACGTAAAGAACTAGACAAATAGTACACCATATCTCCACAATCACGTACCAATCATGTTGACCAAGAAGCTAGCAATACTCTCCTGAAGCCATAACACATACAACATAATCTCTCAGCCCAGTACTGTAAACTCACAACTTATGACACCCACCTACAGATCGACTAACGCCTATTTAAAATCCTCCCCGAATCCCGATCCTATCATGAGATATCAATCAGGCCGAAACTCCGAACTCAACACAACTAAAGAACCTGCCAATTTCCCTCCCCCACACCCCAAACTGGAAATGCATATCCGAAACAAAATTCAATCTAGACTTTCAAAGTAAAAATTCTCTCAATCACAACCAAGTAAAAACTCTCTTAATCACAACCAATTGACTAAATTTGAGTCCTCTTTAGACCCTCACTTAGCTAAACCATCCGTCAGACTATTTGATTCTCTATAGATGTGTACAATTTCAAAACCATTACAGTGCGACATAAATGCAAATATTACCTAAAACTTCTTGTCTAGTCTCTACAGGAATTGGGCACTCCTATTTAACCATGCCACGGCCGTCGAAGAATCACTCTCTAAGATCACTCTCGGAAGCGGAAAACCTACTTCTTTGAGCACATATCTGACAGCCTCCAATTCCGCCTCCACCGACAATGACTCCCCAATATAGTTTGACATTATCATATAATCAACCCTGCCTCACTGCTCCAATACTTGCCTCTCTAAGGTTTTTCCTTGCAGATCCATCCATATTGATATTCCAATAGCCCCTTCGCGGAGGCATCCAAGATATATTTCCATATTTTTCCACCATTTTTTCCTTTCGGACGCATTGGAGTTGATCCAAATTTTCATCAAAAAGCACCGAACTATTATCTGTCCCTGGATGGAAAGTGTTATACCATTTTCACATGACCCATTTAACCCATTCGAGCAAATCAGTTTTCGAAGAATATTTACCTTGGAAAACCAATTCATTCTTTGATCTCTATAACGTCTAGATAGTCGCAAAGCACAATAGGTCCCAAATCATCGCACTAGACGTCTTCTACTGTAATGTCTTCCATTCTTTTAACAACCTATTTAGATCTTTTAGGAGACACCACGACACTCCGAACCAGCTTGACACCTCCCGCCATACATGGAATGTGAATTTGCAAAGCTGTGGTCGACTCTTCATTCTCAAGACCACACATTAAGCATTCAACTCCTCCCACCAACGTCAATCCTCTTATAATTAGCTCTTTGCTAACCGGGATCCCTATATTAAGAATTCCCCATATCAAGAATTTCGCCTTAGGAAGGGCTAAGTTTTTCCAAATAAGACCAACCTCAGAAACCTACTCAAGGTCTTCTTGAATCGCACGAATGCCTATCTTCATCGTGAAGATTCCGTTTGATACCCCTGTCCAAACACCCTATCCTCAACCGTCTCCTTCAGCCATACAAAATTAATTAAAGTCCAAAATGTCTCTAATATGCTTGCTTTCTAATTAAAGACCCCCTACGGAGGGGGATATCCCAAATTCAAATTCATTCCCTCCAACTCCAAAACGATAACACCCTACCCTCCTTAAGCACTGCAAGGGAGAAAATACACGAGAATTG